GTAAGACAGCAGGGAGGGAGGGGGACGGAGAACAAACAGGGGTTTGTTCTCCAGGCGAGGCACTGACTGCAGCACTGACAGGAGGAATGACCTTCCGCTTTGTTTGAACAAGAGGTCAAAGGTAGAGTGTGCCCCGGTGCATTGTGTGGCCTGTAGTCTATGGTGGCGCATTGGAAACACTGAAGGCTGAAGTGATTAAAAAAAAAAAAGAAAGGAAAAACAAAAACAAGGTTTTTTTGGGATCCGTGACTGTGATTTCAGCGTTACGGTGGTTCAGTGTGGTGGTGGTGGTGAATCTTGAATCTGTGTCCTGATGCTGAGAGTTCCCATTGTTGTTAGGTCTAGATCCAGGCAGTCCATTCATCTACACCAACCAGCTGTGGTTCCAGACAGACAGCAGCTGCTCTTTCAGCTAAAATGCTAGTATATGTGAAGTGGCCGCAGTTGTACACACACACACACACACACACAATAGCACCTGAAGGATAGATCTCCACTCTGGTGCTCGTTCAAAATGCCACAGCCAACGATTAAAACCTGCAACCCTGCGATAACAAGCTCAGTTATTCCCAGGCACTGCTACTATAACTTCATATCACCAGTCGGAATTTGTTCAAGACACATTAGCCTAAAGCTAAACCACAATGCAATTTGTTCACCTACTTGTATATCCATTTAAATATAATATATTTATATATACACACAAAATATGCAAGGTCATGCAATTTTCTTTGTATTATCCCTTGCTAGGAAATTTTAGCTGCGAGCTAAATGCCCCCAAAGTGACAAGCTGGAAGTAGCGCCTATGCTAATGTTGTGGGATAGAGGACAAACACAAAGAAAGTGTGAGTGCTTGTCAGACGGAGAACCAACACCTGTTCACCCCGGAGCCCACGACCTTGTGTTTGTGTGTGTCTCCACTCATTTTTGTTAACTTCTTTGTTAGCCCTGTCTGGCATTTTTACCAGTTTCAGGAACACAATAAAAAAAAAATGAAAAGAAAAAAAAAGAAAAAAGAAAAGAAAACAGCTGAAACACGATAAAAATGATTGGATTTAAATTACAAATATAAACAATTTGAGTTTACGCCTACCTGTGAATGTAGTAGATACATTAAAATTATTAAATAAAAAAAATCTAATATACATTTGTTGACTAGGGCTTTCAACAGAAATTAATATATTTTTAAAAAAGCTCTTGTTGTGTATTGCCAACCCATAATCATGCAATGATTTAATTTATTACAAAACCTCTCATAATTAGATTTCATTATTAATCACGTGTCCACCAACAGAGATCTAATCTAAAGGTACAACACAAAATCAAGCAGTAACACTGACCCACAGCACAGGCTAATCATTTACCTGAATCCCTGCATATTCCCTCGAACACAAACACAAACACAAACACACACGTACTGACGCAGCCACTGGAAAGTGCATTCTCTTCTGTTATTACAACACACACTTGAAGTTTTTATAAACTTCAAGTGTGTGTTGGTTGCGTGGGTGTGTTCTAGCCATGCGAACGTGAAACAGTCGGGCTCTTGTTGTGTCTACGACGACGTGCTTCACGGCACAGAGAAGGTCAGTCAGAGTTTCACTTTGAGAGCGCTACTGCCGGGGGGGAATCTGATAAAGACACACGGCATACTTCTTTTCGCTTCCAGGCTGCCCGCTCGTCTGCGATGACACAAGTAGATTATTATAATCTTAGGAGGAGGAGAGATTGACATCGGGAAGCAGGAGGATGTTC